AAAAGAAAAAGAAAAGAAAATAGCAGATTTAAGGCAAGTAGAAAAGAAAATAGAGAAAGAGAATTTAGAAACTCTATAGTTGGCAGGTCGACCCTGGGACTCTTTTTCCTTAAAGTAAAATGTGCGTAAAGCCCGTATTACTTCAAGTAGAGGTGCCATAAAACCTATGAAGTACTCAAAGGGTGGGGGGGGGGGTTATTCTCCTTGTTTTCTCCTTGCTCTTAGTTAATTCTGAGAGAAAAGCAATCGAGACCCTTTAGAAATGCATCTCCAAATTGCATTCGGATCCTTTAACAACTTCCTGGGAAAAACCAGCTTAGAATAAATCAAGGACCATGAACCTAAGGGAGGTTCTGGGCTCAGGAGGACTTACCAGTTCCACTGGAGGAGGAGTTTGGACTCAGTGGGGCTTCAATGGGCTCCTGCTGGTACCTTAGCTCCACTTTCAGGCAACTCCTTTGGGGTCTTGAGTCTTCTCTGAGGTCCCACATTGGGCACCAGTCTCTTTTTATATTGTTGACAAAGAGTCAAACTCTAAAATATTTGAAGAGATTTACTGAGCCAAATACTAGTGACCATAGCCTATGACACAGTTTTCAGGAGGTCCTGAGAACGTGTGCCCAAGGTGATGGGAGCACAGCTTGGTTTTATGTATTTTAAGAAGGCATGAGACATCCATCAAATACATTTAAGAAATACATTGGTTTGGTTGAGAAAGGCGGGACAACTCAAAGTAGATGAGGATATAGGTTAAGTTGAACATTTTCTGGTTGACAATTGGTTGAGGTTGTTTGAAGAGCTGGGACTGATAGAAAGGAATGTTCAGGTTAAAAGATAAAGTACTGTGGGGACCAACTTTTGCTGTGCAGAAGCTCCTAGATAGCAGACTTTAGAGATAGCAGGTTTTAAGTTGTTTTTTATAGGACTTAAAAGGGTGACTGACTCTAAGTTGATTATCTCCTTGATCTGGGATGGAAGGAAAGAAAACAAATGTGGATTCTTCCCACAAGAGACTTTGAAGGGTAATTTTAATGTATGGCAAGGAAATATATTTTAAGGTTAAATATTTTTTTTCCTTGTCTCATAATGTTATGCCAAAGTCAGGTGGAAAAGTCAGTCACAATATATAGAGTTAAATAAAACCCATATGATGAGAATTCACGGTTTGTAGGGCATGACTCCCTAGACCCCTTAGGTAGGAATTTGGATAACATAAAAAATCAGATCTTGGTCTTCAATATGCTATATGTATTAGTCACAATGCTGCCCCCACAAAAATCAGCAACTACAAGAACAAGCAACACAATTATCAACGTTTCTACAACCAATGACTTCTACTATCAAATGGACAAAAATTTCGTACTCATTTATCTGCTCTTAAACAAGACATTTTTCATTGTTCACTTAGTGACTTTCTAGTCCTTTCTAACTTGTAAATTAAAACCACAATGAACTTGCCCTACAACACAGCTACATGTCCCTTAGAGAATTTCACCTATATGGTTTTATTTATAGGATTTTCTGTGCTTCATAGAATAATACACAAATTGTTCTGTATAAATACAAAACAAAGTTCCCAGATGTTCTTTAGCTCTTAAACTCCAATTAATGTTTTCCCCCTTCAAACACAAATTATTCCATGTAAAATTATTCTTAGTGTCAATTATCTGAGCTATTCTTCTAATATTTTTATCTTTTCCAGAGTTTCAATTAGTCTTCCATAAAAACAATATGAGCCTCATGTTTGTTTTTTAAATTAGTTTATCGAGACAAACTAATATCTAATCTTAAAACTCCTAAAACAGAAAATAAGAAAATGTGTCCTTTCTATATGTTTTTCTTAAAAGCTGCTTTTTTTATTCAAATGAGAATAAACTAAAGATTTAACTCATCTATAAAGATTTTTTTTCTTTTTTTACAAAATCTTTAGATGAAGATTTTAATAAGTACTTCTTTTCCTCCTTATGATAAAGTAGCTTGTCTCAGGTAACAGCCCCACACCCCTACCTCCAAAGCAAGAAAAAATAAAATCATCCAACTTTTATGATTTTTCAACAAGAACAAATAAAAAAAAGACAATATTGTGAATATATCAAACACAACTAGGATAGACAATGGGTCAAAATTCTGCCAAGTGGAAAATAACAGAGGCAACCTCAACAGTCTTTGCCACTTTTCTCCTCAAGGCATTTGATGATTCATAAGCTACATAAGGGCAGATGCCAAAAAGTGAAGCAGAAAATAAACCTAAGAGGATACAATCTAAGCAGAGAATTCTTTAGTCTCACAGTGCTGTGAGATTAAGCATTGGAATTTAGGGACTACCAAAAAAAAAAAAAAAAAAGAAAGAAAGAAAACCCACAAACTCTAATAAACATCCATGTTTTAAAACTGAAAACCCTATAAAACTACACTTTAGGGACAAAATAAACAGAGCAAGCCCCCAGAAAGACTGCATAAGCCATAGATTCTCCAACTATAATTGCAACATGATGATATGTTTCTATTCTCTCTGCCAGAAAAGAATTAAATCCTCTCCAAAGGAAGATACCATCATCCAGAGTCTCTACAACACTTCACACTCAATGTGCAGTTTACAAATAAACACCACTAGGAGAACAAAACGAGTGATTAAAAATAAAGAAAAAAACCCCGACTAGAAACACACCTACAAAGAAATCAGACATTGGAAGTTTCAGACATCAATTTTAAAAAATATGTTCTCAGTGTTCAAGAAAACAAGTGAAAACATGGATAACTTCATCAGAGAGGGGGAGGCTTTTTGCTTGTTTCTTGTTTTTGAGACAGTCTCGCTCTGTTGCCCAGGCTGGAGTGCAGTGGCATGATCACAGCTCACTCCAACCTCTGCCTCCTGAGTTCAAGCAATTCTCCTACCTCAGCCTCCCGAGTAGCTGGAATTACAGGCATGTGCCCCCATGCCTGGCTTTTTGTATTTTTAGTAGAGACAGTGTTTCACCATGTTGGCCAGGCTGGTCTCGAATTCCTGACCTCCAGTGATCCACTTGTTTGGAACTACCAAAGTGCTGGGATTACAGACGTGAGCCACGGCACCCAGCCTGGAGTTTATCTTTTTTAAAGAGTAAAATGTAAATTCTAGAAAGAAAGATACAATCACAGAAAAAAAAAAAAGAACCCAGTAAATGGATTTAACCACAGATTAGATATAAAACAGAACATTAGAGAATTAGAAGATAGATCAATGTCAGACTGAAGTTTTGACAGGTGAAAGAATAAGAAAAAAAAAGCGTCAGGAACACATGAACCACTGTCTACACATCTAACACATGCATTTAAAGTACCAAGAAAAGTGAGGGGGAAAAGTTAGGAACAATATTTGAGAAGTCTATGTCTGATTTTCTTCCCCAAAACCAATGCAAGACAACAAGCTGCAACTTCATTGAATTTTATTAACCTGAAGTACCAAAAAAACAACACATTTTAGGAAAAACATAATTCCAAAAATTAAAGATAAGGAGAAAAACCTAAAAGTAGCCACAGAGATAGGAGAGGATATTCCCTTCAAATAGGCAAATAAAACTGTTAGGTGACATTCAAGAAAAGAAGACAAAAGAAGAACGAGGAACAGGAGGAGGAGGAGAAAGAGAAGCAGCAGCAATGGCCACCAGTCAGCAATGGCCAGATGTCAGAAGATGGTAGTCTGACATCTTTATCGAACTTAACAAAATTATTGCATCTCAGAATTCTCCAATATCCTCCAGGAATAAAAATAAAATAAAGATGCTTAAAATAAACAAAAGCCAAGAGGACTTGTCACCAGAAGACCTAAGATATAAAGAAATACAAAAAGTTGTTCTTGCAGAAGAAAACTGACCCCATTAGGCCATAGAAAACCAGGAGGAAATGAAGAGCACCAGAAAGGGTAAAAGGGTGAATTTACATGAATAGTAACTGTATAAAATAATAGCAATGTTTTGTGAGTGTGAAAATACATGTAGAATTAAATGGCAGAAAAAGGGCAGAAGGCAAAGAGAAATCAATGGCATTAAACTATTTTAAGCTTATTATATAAAAACAGTAATTTTTCATAGACTCTAGTAAATTAAGGAAACATGTAGTAATTTATGGGGAAATAAAAAATATATATGTAGCTAGCCAGAAAATGATCAAGAAAGCAAGCAAGAAAATAACCAGTAAAAAAGAACAATAATGGCCAGTTCAAATAGAAAACCAATAGTTATATGAAAATTTTCAACCCAAATCATAATTACATTAAATAATAAACTAAATGTCACAATGAAAAGACAAAGCTTATCAGGCTGAATAAGAAAATGTGAGCAAAAAACTCCTTTTTTATATCCAAGCAAAGCTTTTTTAGCCATATGAATAGGATGTTTTGTTTGTAAGGAAGATGAATAAAGGTTGTTTGGTGAAGCAAAGAAATACAGATTCCTCAAATAAGCTTATGGGAACATTCTGGCACAAAACCATTCTTTCTTAATTGCTCCTATTGGTAATATCAATTTAATTTTGTTTCCTGTGGGTTTTTCATGCATCAAACTAACTCCCTGATGATTTCTGCTTTTCTTCCCAGGCTTTTAGCTGTAGCAAACCCTTTCACTCAGCAGGGACTTAGATGCAAGTATACAATTGACCTATCAACACTGAGCATTCAGACATGCATTAAAAACAAACCCCAGCCTATCCAAAAACTAACTTTTACTAAATAAATTCTTCAGAAAGGGCTTCTGAAATAAAATAATACAAAAGTTATAGTGAAGAAAAGTAACTGCTGTGTAAAACATCTGAGAAAAATCAGTACTGTGACATTCACCTCCAGATTTCCATATTTTGTATTTCTAAAACTAAATTAAGCATGTGACAAAGAACCCATAAAACTTAGAGAACACTAAGGAATATGCTTAGAAACTAGTGTAAATAGGTTCAGATAAAGATTACGTTAAAAACAAGTGGGAGAACCTCAAAGCATGTATAGGACTCAATAGCTACCCATTATATTATCCCTGAATTGGCATTTGAAAAAATGACAAATTAATAATATACATTTCAAACCAGTATTTGGTAAGAGAAATATCTTAATTTCATAGTCAGTATAGATAAAATTCCAAAAGCTCAATATAAAATATCAAACCCGAGTGTTTTCAAAATCTGTATGAAAACAAAATGAGCATGCAGACAAAAATATTAATTTGTTAGGATTAGTTTTTTTTTTTTTATCCCTCCCCTCAAGTATCATTTATAACTATCCATATACAAATTGTGTTTTTGGAGTCATTTAATAATCTTCTGACAAATGTCCTATAATAAAAAAACAGTAAATCAATGTGCTCAACATCTAATCTAGACGTTTAAAAACTTAATAAATACATAGCAAATTTAGTAAAAACAAATACTAACATATGACAAATGTCTCAAGAGAAATCTAAACATTCTTTTGTAAATTTTTAAGGAAAACTTTAAAAATGTTATCTAAATTACATTTGTCTATAGTTAGCGTTCTAATTCCACCAAAGCACAGTAAGTGACTAAATTTCACCTGCTGAAAGAAAATTAAAATCAAGATGGGAAGCATTTATTCAGGTGATGAAATACCATCAGTAACACAGGAAAGAAACAAAGAAAACTTTCTTGAGGGAAAAAAAAAAATGGAATTACCATTTCAAAAAGGGCAAAGTTTATACTTCAGCTGCTAAAACATAGCACTGAGAGCGTAAAAGAACGTGCCTTGGGTTTGAATTGTCCAAGACAATTTTTGTGATGCCTGCCCAAATGAAACAGATTTTTATTTTATCACCACCCATTTTTTTTTTAACTTCAGTTGTATTTTAAAGTATCAAAATTCAACAATTTATGGTTGGAATTTCAAAAGATTCAGTCTTGAGAGTGGTATGAATTATAAAGAGCAGCCTTGCTTAAATAATATGCAAGACAATTCATTACACTGTTAGAATGAAAACTGGTACCATCTTAGTTTTAAGTTCCTTCTTACGCCTTCATATGGTGTAAGTAGCATATGGTATTTTTCTGCCAGAAATGACTCCTAGATAGCATATAAAATAAGCACTTAGATTTTTGTGTCCTGTGATTTTACATGTTTTTTTTTTTTTTTTAGATAAATACTAATTCGCAAAAATTGAATTGACTAGGATAAAGTAAGGGTGGGAGTAGCAATAATGAGTAATATAAAATATTTATATTTACACATATGAGAAATTTTATGTTACACTTTTTTTAAAGTTTAAAGTTGTGTTTAAAATTGATCCATGCAAACAAAGGAAAAGACAATGTGCATTACTGTGCTTTTCACATAGTAGGTGATCAACAAACTAACTATGAGTACATCTTACTCCTGCCTGCACCATAAGAAGTGCTTGCTGTCACTTCACCTTACCCTATGAATAAAAGCTTCCTGAGGCCTGCCCAGAAGCCTAGCAGATGCTGGAACTGCTTTCTGTACGAACTGTGAGCCAATTAAACCTCTTTTGTTTATAAATTATGCAGTCTCAAGTAATTTAGAAATTATTGCACTAATAGTTTATTGATCATTTACTAAGTGAAAAGCATGGTAATAGACTTCATATATATAGTATGCCATGTTTAATTCTAAAGTATTTTTTGCTGATTCTTGACCTATGTGTTACTAGATTAATCCCTTGTTCTTCCCTATGGTTCTCTGTGTCAGGAGACTTCTGGCTAGGATTGGTCTTTCAAAGGCCCTGGTAGGAGACTAGAGTACAAGAGAAAGGAGAATCCGGAGTATTTCTGCCCATACTTTTCCTCGGGCACCATCTCCTACAGTGGTCAGTCTCCCAGTTGATGTTAGTCCCGTGTGATCCAACCCACTGTTATCACAGCCAGTAGGTGACCCTCGTTCACAGACTCTGCTATTTCCTCCTCCTCCCTTTGTCCTTCTTACAATTTCTTGGTTGGCTAAATTTTTGTTTTTTGGCTTCTCATATCCTTTAGTACCTGTGTCCTCAATGGCCTAGGTTAAACTCCCTCTTAAAAAATAAAATAAAATAAAGAGATTTCTCTTTTCTTGATAAAGTGGTTTTTGCTTTTCTGTTTGACTAATAAAGTTTTGTTATCTCCTACTTGACAACAAAGGATTCCCAAAATTCACAGAATTTAAGTAATATGCCAAGTATAACACATAGTGATTAAGTGACAGATGACATTTTGTTCTAAGACCTACCCAAGTTATAAATTGTTCCTCCACGCTACCCTGCCTCCCTTTTATTATCATCATGATAAAATAACGAGGAATCACATATTCTGATAATCTAGGTATTTTAGACATTATAAAATCAGGAACTCTGTCCTTTTAATCAATTTATTATCATTCCTTTTTAAAGCTGTGATACAAAATACTTTAAAATACCAAGAACCATAAAACATGGAAAAATCACAAAATGCTTATCAGTACATCCCTTCATATCTACAAAAGATACTATTAATTAATGAGATTTTTAATATAGTTCCTCAGATCTCTGCTGTAAAAGTGTTCCTTTTATTTTTAAGCATTCCAACAGACCTGGTCTTCCAAAATGAAAATCAG